TATATATATAAAGAAATAGTTTTTTTAAAGACTTGCTTAAATGGAAAGATATAACCAAGTTCTGGATGGGCAGGCTCAGCACTGAAAAACTGTCAATTTTCCCAATTAACTGTCAATCTCCCCAACTTACTTTCCATTTTTTCCACTCTGGAATTATTTTTACAAAACTCAGCATCTATCATTTCTATGTTAAGAAAGGAAAGGGGCAGGGGATAAACAGAGGTAGGAAAGAATGCCTGCCAAAGAAATCTCTCTTACACACACACACACACACACACACACACACACACACACACACACACACACACACACGGGAAAATGCCTTAGGAAAGGAAGCAAAGGGGAAAAATGCTAAACAATAGGTCATATTCTATAACAAGATTTATCATTTGTATCAACAGATCACATTCTGTAATAAGATTTAGGCTCCAAGGTGCTGTCAGGTCATCACTGACAAATCTTTTATCTTGAACTGAGCAGAAGAAGTATGTGCTGTGTTAAATGACATTCAAAACTCAACGTAATGATGCACACAAACCAACTCTGCTGAGGAACCACAACAGCAAAAGTATAATTGGGTAAGATTTTGCTCTTTGACTTTATAAAAAGGTGTTAAAGTGTTAAAAAGTCAAGACTAGGGGGGGAAGATACCTTTATTTCAGGAAAAGGGCTGAGACTGGGCAGAGCTCAGAAGACAAAGGGCTGCCCAAAGCACGGTGAGCGTTTCTCTCTCCTGCGAGGCCCCAGAAGCAGCCAGATGTGGTAAACACAGCTGTTCATCCTCTCTAATGCCACCTCTAGAAAAGACTAGTATAGCCATTTCCAAGATCATTGTACAAGGTCATTAATCTTCCCATTACAGCTCATTGTCCAATCCCTGAGATCCCAGAGACGGACCAGGGATCGTGATCCAAGAACAGTCTGCCTAAATCTTCGGATTTTTTTAAACACTCTCTTGGGTTGTCGGAAAAGTCATGACGTATTTTTTCTATGTTTTTTGTTACAAAAATGCATCATGACTTTTCTGACAACCCAATACATTTCCAGGTCAAAGTATATTTCTGGTATACAGTAAGTGTTCAATAAATGTTTGCTAAATAAATGAACAAAGTTTAAAAAAATAATTTTTTTCATCTGAGGGGACTTATTTTCTACATTTCTAAATGGCAGGTGAGGCTGGGGAAAGCAGTTGGTAAATTGTAGGGGGAAAAAACCCACCAATTTATTATTAAATTCTCTTCAAAGGCATTTCCGCATACTGGGTAAGAGTTCTGCAGGAGGATTCAGAAAAACCAACCACAAGTTAACCATGTGACTTTGGGCAGGTTAATAATTGCTCCATGCCTCAGCGTCCTCAACTGTAAAATGGAGTAACAGCAGCTACCTTAGAAGGTTACTGGGAGATTAGATGATACATGTAAAGCAGGCACATATCAAGAACAATCATTAATACAAATTATGTTTGTAATGTACTACTTGGTTTCTGTTGAAAAACAAAAAATGAAAATGCAACTGAGTAAATTCTGAAGATCTAATTTGGTTTAGTAAGTGAGTCACGAATTGGGGAGCATTCCACCTATCAACTAGAAGGGAGCTCTAAGGGGTTGTACAAAATGGAAGAGTTTTCATTGGAAGAAGAGTGGAGCAAAGGAGCTAGCTATTAAGAAAAGAAAGGATTGTTTTTGAGCCAGGACATCTTTTCTTTGAGGGAAGAGAAATTGGAAGGGTTTTTTATCATGCAGATTACCTCTTCTCAGGGGTGGGGGTGGGGAGTGGGTGCATGGAAAGATTACCTTACTGGTAGCAGTAGCGCTTGACCAGAAAATTCCAGACTGGTTAAGATTATGTTTCCGGGAGAGTTTGAAACTGCAATTAGAAAAGTACTGAATTCAAGTTTGATATCACGGGCACATGAGGGACACCATTTTGGGCCTGTGGTTTTCTCTTGAACATTCCCAGGACAACTTTTACGACACATTAGCTCATCTGAACCTTACACATTCACTGTGACAAGGCAG